ATGGCCTCCACTATACCATGGTGAATTGTGGATTGGATAAGCTTTTTTGCTTTGTTATAGAATGTTCTTTATAAAAAAGTGCAACGCACGGGGTCGAACAAAATTTTTATTGCTTCTAAAACTTTTTTAATGTAATATTTTTCCCCAGAATAAAGAAAATATATTTCCATATGATTTTTAATACTATATACAAAAATTCCAAATTAAAGTAGAATAAACAATATTTGAGGAATTGAATGTGTATTCAACCAAGTTTTTTTAATACCAAACTTTTTGAAAGACTGTAGGGTATATAATTTTTTTGATATAGTTGCAAGGGTATCATTGTCATCTAGAACTAATATTTTTAATTTTGTATTTGTCTTCACTCATGGAACCATAACATAAAGCTCACCATGAGTGAATACCAACTTGGTTAAAAGTAATGCAAGAAATGACAATGTTCGACTTTGACTTTTGTTGATAGTCATTGCAAAATATAAGACTATTGATATTTGCCTTATAAATAACTTCAAGAGTGGTCCTAGATCAGATGGTATCAATTTCATTAGGAGTATATAAACTTTTTGCTGACTCGATTTCTCAAAACCACAATCGACCAACAACATTCTTTCACAGCTCTTCAAAGATTAATCGTGTACCATTACATAATCCATATATTTGGTCAATGTTTCTCAATATCAAAATCGTTAAGCCATTTTTAAGATTATTTTGTAGTTTTGGATCCCTGAACATTTGATTTCATTTAAAATTTAATTGTTATTTAATTGTCATCAATAATTACATCTGAATCGGCCTAACATGAAGAATCAAAACTCAGGCACACCATTTCATATTAGGTAATGAGGGATATGACAAATTCATTTACCATCTCTACAACCTCAAGCATGGTCTAGTAGTGCCATATCCTAAAAAATGAATAAATTTTCATACTCTCCAATAGGTTCAATTAGGATAAGTGAAGTCCACTATACTCTTCACAAAATAACTTGTGTCTAAAATTAATAATTTATGCGGAATTTTAAGGTCAGTTGTTTCATCAATTACTTGTCTAAGTTTTTCATCTCTAACTTTAATTATCCAATCAGAAAAATTTTTTGTGTCCCTATCTGGGATAGAGGACGTAGAAGAATGTAATATCATATTCTTCGCTAACATATAAATTTTAAAATACGACCATAATTTTAAAGAATATATGATAGCACTCACAATTTTCTCTCTTGAAGTTTTGGGTAAAACAGGAAGAGTTTGCCAAAAATCACCTCTGAGTACAACTATTTTCCCTTCGAGTCCAACTTTTTCCCCTCCAAATTCAACTATTTCCCCTCCAAATGGTTCATTTCAAGAGTTTTTATTAGATAAATTCATTACATCTCTCATTTTATGATCCAGCACCTTAAAAATAAATCTATTCATCATGCATGCTCCATCCCATGGTATTAGACTTACTTGTTGGATTAATTCTGCTTTCGGACTCTCTTGTTTGATGGCACACGTTATGCAATTGCCCAAAGAGATTGAGAATCTCAAGTGTAATGTCATTCACCCATGTCCTTCCCCCATGAAAAAGTAATGTTGCAATACAACTGGATGTGACATTCAAGACAATCTTATCATTTGACATTAGAGAAATAAACACTGATTTTTATAAAAAAATATTTTTTCAGTTCCACTGTAACCATACATAAAAAAGAAACCTCCTCTTTCAGGTGTCACAACTTCCATTATCTCATCGTATATATTGTGCTGATATTCATTCGTCGTAGATAAGTATCTCATAAGATCATATGCAAACTTTTCTTTTTCACTTTTATAATGCAAAATCATTCAAGCCCTTGATAGTATTCTCGTCAATATACAAAATGTTTTATCAAAATAGAAATAATTATAAATATGAAATTATATTTCTCTTTGATGTGGTTGTAACTTGTAACTTAGTCTCGATCTTATTAGTCTCCATTCGGCTTTAATATTTTCATTTGACTTTTCTAGGTCAAATTTTATATACTTTAACCTTATTATATACAAAAAAGGAATCTCTTCATATTTAGTAGCTAAATAATAAATTTTGGAGTTCCGATCAACAAAATTGGAAATCTGTTCTCGTAAGCTCCGCAAAGAATATGGAAAATAATATAATTCGCCAAAAAATAATGCTATCAATTTCCTTTTTAAATATATTACTAATGATGCACTCCCTTAAACTTACCAAATGAAGTGTGAGTACATCATCAATTACACAATAGTTTTCATAATTTCACCGATCTACACTATAGAAGAAAAAAAGAAGGATATGCAAAGAGGTTCCCAAGAAGTTGAAGATGATGATTTTGTAAAAAAAAGATATATAAGGTAATATAAGTGTAGAAGGAAACTTTTGGTAGTTACTACTCCATATATATTACTCTGTATATATTTCCTAAACAAAACTAAAAAAATCACTCAAATAGAAGTAAGACATAAATCTTATGCCCAGAATAAGAGTTCAATAGTTTTATTTCCTAAATAAAGTTTACACAATGACGTTGTGGCAATGTATATTACCATTTCATAATGTTTTTAGCACTATATAATAAAATATTGGTATTGTAGTTAATATTTTGGAGATAAAAAATATGAAACTCATATTTTGGTACTTTCTCCACATTCTAATCTTATTTTAGTTTTTTTCCCAAATAATTATAGTGGCACTTCGTAATCCGTATAGGTGGCGGATGATTTGTTAAAATGTTGCAATGTAGACTCACCAGTTATTGTAATTCTATGAGTTTAACTATTAAATTTAATATATAAAGATAAAGATATGTAGCAACCAAACACATTCTTTTTGTTTAGCATAAGACCACTAACCTAAATATAAAATTAATAAAATTCATTCAGAGAAGTATGTGCATAATTAATCATTTCATAAAAATGGATGAATCTAAATCACTTTTTTATGCAAAAATATACTCCCTCTGTCCCTCATAGATCTTCTCATTAACCTTTTTTATTTGTCCACCATAGATCTTCTCATTACCTTTTTTAACAATTAAAATATATAGCACAACTATTCCCACTTACTTTATTTATTACACCCCATTTACCTCATTTAATACACTCCACCCATTTTCATTAAATCTATTATGGTAAACTTTAACATTTTTTCAACTTTTGTTAAAAACCACAAAAAGTCAAAATGAGAAGATATTAAGGGGACATAGGGAGTGATTCTAAATCCAAGAATAGAAAGTGTTCTTTACCCCCCATACGTATATATGGTAAATAAATTGGTATTTTTAAATAATTCTAAAAACTTTATTCATTAACTGTCTCAGTTTGCTTTGCTGTCAAATGCTTGAATAATTATTTATATAAATATATAATGAATTGAAATATTAAAAATTAGACTATAATCTCAAAATAAAAAATATGTTTGATAAAAAATTTCATTGGTCAAACATATCATTCGAAAAATGAACTGGGTGTTAAAAACAATAGAGTTACTAATTCTTAAGATTAACTGCATTAAACTAAAAAGACAAATAAATTAGTCACTATGTTCAATCAATAAAAAATAAAATAAAATAATGTCAAATCANATGCTTGAATAATTATTTATATAAATATATAATGAATTGAAATATTAAAAATTAGACTATAATCTCAAAATAAAAAATATGTTTGATAAAAAATTTCATTGGTCAAACATATCATTCGAAAAATGAACTGGGTGTTAAAAACAATAGAGTTACTAATTCTTAAGATTAACTGCATTAAACTAAAAAGACAAATAAATTAGTCACTATGTTCAATCAATAAAAAATAAAATAAAATAATGTCAAATCAATACTCTGTATGTTGATTAAAATTACCAACTCATTAAAATAATAAATAGACAACAAATGATTTATTAAAAATGTCATATTAGCTCGTGACATGCCAATATCATGTAAGCCAGAGTATCAAATTTTATAATAAAAGAAGTTAGCCAATAAATGTCATTAGTAATTAATTGAAAGTTGTTTATAATTAACATTTATAACCTCCTAATTATAATTACTTTACACATACCTCGTAAAAGTTTTTCATATGTGCAATAATTGGGAATGAATATTTGCTCTAATAAGATGTTTTCATACTTAAAGTTAAAATTGTCAAGTCACTTAAGTCATCAAATGTGGCTGATGATGTGTAAAAAAAATTTGCCAAGTATCTTGCCACATGTCGAATTTCTAGGAGTTTAACTCCCAAATATTATATATATAAAGGATTAGACGAAAGCGTGTGTGGAATTTATGATTGCGTGAATGAACTTATGAAGATGCTTAAGTCATCCCGTCATATTGTAGGTCAATTGTATTCTTGGTTTAACTTATATGTATTTGACATAGAAATTTTTTGTCCAATACAAGACTTGGTTTGGGGTTCTCCAATTGTACCGAGGAACTCCCGAGATTGTTTGAGCTTGACCTTCGTTCCGTAGGGGAAGGTCATGACTTCATAGGCAAGTTGTAAATAAATAAGTCTTAGCCTATAATAGGTTATGAGCCAATGAAAGATATAAGTCATGTGACTAAAATAACAAGCATTTAATATCTATGTTTGATGATAGTGTTCACTATTATGTCACACTTTCTCCGTCCCTGAGTATTTGTCCATTTTTGACTTTTTTTCAATCAAAATTGGTAAATTTTGATCTTAAATTAAATAAAAATAATATTAGATATTGATACAATATGAAATATTTCCCAAAATATTATTTTATCTAATTAATATACAATACATATTTTATTTAATTATAAGTCAAAGGTTGATAACGGTTGACCGAAAAGAATCAAAACTGGACAAATACTCAGGGACAAGGGTAATATTTGTGATGTTATTTATGCTATGTTTGTGTGCATGATATCGTATGATGCTATGAGCTAGTGAGCTCATCTAAATGTGTGATCAAATGTTAGATATTTCTCACGCAGCATCAATGCTTAGCGTGTAGTATTTTATTTTGCTACGCGTAGGTAATTAGGGTCAAAATGACACAATCCTGGAGGGTAATGAAGATGAGGAGATGTGCATGGGCATTCTTGAAGATTTTTAACTCCTATTCATTATTAAATAATTTATTACTTTTACAGGCTTGATTCTCAAGTTATGTTTGAGTGTTGACTTAAGCTTTCACATTATTTTTTAATTACTTGGATGGATGTTTTAAATTATGTTTTAAATTAGTTGTTTTCAGTTATTTTGAAGATATGATGTGTTTGGATGTCAAACTAGTAGCAACCCAGTTCCCTAACCTATGTATTCCGGTTATGCGAGTTGGGATTTTTCATTTTGGTATCAGAGGATATGATTTTAAAACCGATCTTCGGATCACAAATAAATGTTTTCCAAAAGGCTGCACCACATTTGTAGAGACTCATCTATCCCAAGAAGGTAATAATTTTATAACTTTGCATCCTATATCCTAATCATTTCATTTATATATATATATATATAAAGCAGACTCCGAGCTATAAGAACGTGACATGTGGCAGAGCTGATGTGTCACCCTTTTAGACAAACCGGCTGGTCGAACCAGAGAGGATGACGAGACAGGTGAGCCCGACACATCTGAAAGTCCGGGTGAAGGAAAAAAATACTTAAGTCTAATTTATTTGCACATCATTTTTTTAAAGATACAAAACACGGCGATTTTAAGGCAATTTATAGACATTGTGGCACAATCCTAAAAATGAGAATTTTTGGGGGTTATGGATCACCGACCAAACACCTTAGAGCGAGGCACCCCGTGGAGTACACCAAAATGATGGTGAAGAAGGGATAAGCACGAACACAAATTTCTCATTTTGCAAACAAAGGTGAGATTGGCCTTTTTGCTTATAATGATGAGCAAAATAAGCAAAAAATGGTCGAAATAATTTGCACGGAAAATTTGCCATTCATGTTTACTGAAAAACTTGGATTTATTGATTGTTGTCAAAACAAACTAAAACCTAAACAAGAGATTTTTCAAGAAAAACAATTAAAAGAGAAATTATTAGACAATATAAAGTTAGAAAAAATAATTTAGCTAATTTTTTTCTTACTTTTAATTCTCGTGTTACTATTTGTTCTAAATATTTGGAGTGAAACTTATCATAATTTGTCTTACATGGGTGTTACTTGTAATTGGATAGATAGTGATTGGATAATGCATAAACGTGTTCTTGCATTTTGTAATTTTACGGAATCTTACACGAGTGATGATATTGTTCTTTTGCTTGAGCGTATTCTGAAAGAATACAATTACTTGGTAAAGTGTTTGTATTTGGTTTTGATAATACTACTAATAATACTACCGTCATTTCTAGACTTAAAAAACTTTGTCACCCTAGCACCGTTATGAGTAGATTTTTACACCAAAGGTGTGCATGGCATATTCTAAATTTGTATGTACAACAGGGATTAACAGATATGGGGGGAATCTTGGCCAACATTAAAGTTGCTTTGAATTAATTTGGGGTAGTCGTCTTCACTCTCAAACATGAAAGTCTTACTATAAATCTCAAGATAAAAAACCAACAACATTTGCTAAGAATATTACGATTAGATGGAATAGTACATATAAGTTGATTGACCAAATCGTGCGTTATAAAGAAGAACTGTTTTTCATTTCTCAGGTTTGAACTTAATCATTTTATCAATTTTAATAAACTTTATGATTGTTGAAAAATTGAAAAATGTGTTAGAGGTTTCTAATAATGTCACTCTTACTTTCTCGTATGTTTATAAACCTACAACAAACAAATTTTTTTCTTAGTGTATTACAATTGCTACATGTTTTCGTACAAGTTTATCTAATCAAAATTTGTACCCTCATGTATATCTTATAAAGGATAAATGGTGTGCCTATTATTTATATATTTATAAAATTAGTATTATTTGTGATCCACACTTTAAGATTGAGAATTATAAAATTCTTATTGAGTATTATTATAGTTGTTTTTTAGATGAAAATATTTATTTTAATGACCAATTAGTAGAATGGACAAAAAAGAGATAATGCTATTGATCTTTTTAAGTCCTTATTTAAACAATTTCAAGTTACATACGGTACTTCACCAGAAGAAACTCAAGAAAGAGCAGCTCCTCTTGTCCTGAAGATAAATTTTTTTTAAAGGGATTGTCAGTGGCCTCTTGGCGGAAAAAGATAAGCGTAGTGCTTCGTCGATGAGTAAAAGTGGTACAAGTGTAAGTTCACACAACGAACTTGTAATATACCAAGACGTTCAATGTGACTACAACGAAGACAACGATACCGAGTTCGAGATCCTCAAATGGTAGAAGCGGAATGAACACATGTTCCCGTCAATCGGAATGCTAGCCAGACAAGTGTTATATGCCGGTTTCAACCATAGATGTGGAACGAGAGTTCAGTTCTAGCGGTAACATTATAACCGACTACCGAAGTTGTCTTAGCGCTGAATCGTTGGAGACACTTGTTTGCAACCAAGATTGTCTCTTGGCAAGGCGTCGAGCGCAAGAGGCGGGCTACAACACTCATACACAAAATTACATGGATGTAACCACGGAGGGAAGTGTTATTAATTTTTTTATGTGATTATAAGTTCCTTCGAGGGTTTCTCTATGATTCTTTACCTCATCGTTTTTTAACCGTCAGGATAATAAATGTAGTTGTAATATTTTTAACGTTCTTCATATAAATAATAACTACATTATTAGAATTTATAAAAATTTATAATTTTCTTTTACATTCTATATTATTCATATATTAGAATAGAGTAAATTCGATAAATAGTCTTTAAATACATGTAGTTTTCCATATTTAGTCCCCAACTATAAGATAATCCATTTACATTCCTCAATTTTTGAAAATTGTTTTACAAAGAATCCTTTTCACCGAATATGACAAAATATTTTGAGTAAATTCTCAAAATGATTCTTTGTAACAAGGTGTTTTCCCAAAGTAATCCTCAATAAGCAAATATTACTAACATGGTCCTTTATAATTGAGATGTGTTTCCTAAATAATCTTTTATAAAAAAAGCCTATTAAATGATAGTTAAATGTGGGGTATTTTGATGCTTTTTATTATCTAAACTATGAATAAGTTTTCAAATATTTTTTAAATTAAGTGGGAGCTACTAATAAACAATAATTACCGATATGGTCCTTTATAATTTATATTTATGCATTAAATGGTCTATTGCCTAAAATGTATATTAAATGTCAGTCAATTAGAAAGTACTTTGATATTTTATATCATCTCTGTATATTCTCGAAATGCTCCTTTATAATTAAATATTTTTCCAAATTGATAATCTTTACGTAAACATTTTTTTAAAATGGAGTTCATGAGCCTACTCGGGGTGGGTCCCTTCTTCTAGTAGCCTCCCACTTAATTGAAAAAAAATTCATTTTGAAGACTTATTCATAGTTTAAATAATAAAGATCATAAAAATACCCTCTATTTTTTGTCATTTAAGAAACATTTTTTATAAAAGACTATTTAGAAAAACACATCTCAATTATAATGAGCCATGTGAGTAATTTTTGTTTATTGTGGATTACTATGGGAAAAAACCTTATTTAAAGGGCCATTTTGAGAATTTACTTAAAATATTTTGTCATATTTGATAAAAAAAGCTATTTGTGAAATATTTTTTAAAAATTGAGGACTGCTTTATGAAATACCTTATAATTGAAGACTAAATATGAAAAATTACATATAATTGGAGACTATTTATGAAATTTACTCATTGGAATATTAGATATACATATTAAAATATTAAAATTTAAAAAAATTAACTATGAACCGGCCCAAAAACCGAGCAAAAACCACCGATTCTGGAACCGGCTCAGAACTACCCCTCTTGTCTGCGGTACCTGAACCGCTGGTTTTGGAACTGGAACCGGAACTGGAAGGCGTAGTGCCTCAGCAAATCAAGAAATGAAACTGTCTCCAACCTCTTACTGGGGCCCATTGGTTAGATCTGTCCGGGATCTTGTATTCGGAGGGAAGGGAATTTTTTGGTTGAGAACTTGAGAGATTTATAGCGGTGCAGCGCAAATCCAGATCAAGCAGATCTCATCAGTTTCTCTGCAACCATTTACAGAAAGGTCATCAGTTGGAGGATGTATATGTGAAGCTGGGACAGAAATGGTGACTTCCAAGGACGAATCCGCCACTGATAGCGACAATTCCTCCGGCGACGTCCCGGCCTCGCATTCCAGTCTCTACTCTGAAGGCGAAAAGGTCCTCGCTTACCATGGCCCCCGCATCTACAAAGCTAAGGCAAGCTTCTCCATCGCTTTTCTTTTCACTGCGTAGATTGAAGGTATATTCGTGGAGTATCTCACGGAGATTTACTGTAATTTCATGAAATTTCAATATGATTATGTGCTGTGCTGTAGCTAGGTTTAATTAGTTCACAATTGCAATCCCGAAGTCGTTCAATCAAAAATGTGATGAACCAAGCATAGTACCTCTATTCTATATGTCAGATATGATTCTTACATGGACAAAATAACGACTCTTTTCCGGGATAGGCATCCCAAAACCTAAGTCCATTATTACAAAATTCTGAAACTCAGAAATGCACGAACTTAGTAATGGTGTCCATTTTCAGTTGTTCGAGGTAAAAAAAATTGTTGGAAACAAACGTAGTGGAAGAATGTCTTCATTAATTAGTAACTTGATGAGACAATTCGTAGCTTGCCTAGTGATTTGCATAGATTCTGTATGCTTCTGTTTTGCTGTATGTTTTCTATCTTGTGATGTGTTTTACTACTGAAATTTGAAGGTCCAAAAATCTGAGCTTAGGGAGAATGAATGGAGATATTTTGTTCATTACTTGGTGAGTGCTGTTAACATCTTCCAAGCATCACCGCCCACACCCTTCACACCGTCTGGTCTTCCTTTGCAGGATGTCAATAAACAAAAACTATAGTAATCTATAGCATTTCTGTACATAATCTTGATCCAGTTTCCATCATGTAATAAGTTTTTTCTCAATCTTGCAGGGTTGGAACAAGAAGTAAGTAAATCACACGTAACTTGGAAGGTTTTTCAGTTTTTGGTTCTGCAACAGTCTCTAGACTACCATTTTGGTTATGATTTTAAAGGTTGCAATGAATCTGGAGTCTTTGCAAAATGTACTACTGGTATTTGAGACTAGTTATTGAAGCATAATTATCTTGCCGCAGTTGGGATGAGTGGGTAGGCACTGACCGTTTGATGAAATTTACTGACGAGAATATCATGAAGCAGCAGGAACTTGACAAGAAACAAGGAGTGGAAAAAAATCCAAAATTAGGACGTTCATCGCAAACAAAACCTAGAAATCTAGCTGGTATAATCTCAACTGTTCAACTGTGAGAAAATTTTGAATCTCTGGCAAACTACAATAACTACAACTACTTCATGAGCTGCTTTTGCTACTTTGTAATATTAAATTTCAACTTGCAAACAAATATTCTTTACCTAGTCTTTTAGATTAGCAGTTTTGTCAAACACTTCATGGCATAGTTTTTGGAAACCAATTCCATTTTTTATCTAGTACTGTGAAATGTGAATTTATTGTGCTTGAATTTGACAGATCTAAGAGTTGAGAAAGATGATACAAAAAACAATGGTATGTTTTATTTTCCCATTCTATGCATCACTTAATTATGATTTCATGTCGTAGTCCTTTTGGAATTTCTGAAATAGAATTTCTAAATCCCCCCTTTGATTTTCATCGTAAAAAGTTGTGAAGCTCGCATCACCTTATTGATGGTTTAATCATTTAGAATTTTCCATGCTTCTCACTATTGATTTGCATAATGAGATAGCAATCGTATGACTGTTGAGTGAATCTGATTACTTGCATACTTATATGCTTGATGTATTTGTCATGCTTGGTTTTGCAGATCTAAACGTGGATAAAGAGGAAACAAAGACCAATGGTATGTCATTTTCAGATTGGCCAAAATAGATTTTCTATAAATGTATAAAGCTGTAATTTACTAATTGTTCAACTAAAACATGCTCTCCTGCAACTGCTAGAATTTCCACTACCATTAGTTCTGTCATCTTAATAATTCCAAAACTGGTGGTTGCCTTGTAGATGATTGTTTCATCCTCTAATTATCCATTTTACACTGTTCCTTCTGATACCTTATCGAGTTTGTCTTCTTTCTCTAATCATGGAGGCATGTAACTTTTATCTCACATAAAGATTTCCGACACCCTATGAATAATATTTTGCAAGTAAACAAAATGTTTCACTATAACAGTATACAAAATGTTCAACTATCTGTAAATGTTGTTCATATTCATCCCTGGTTCAAAGAGATATCTGATCAACTGAATCTTCTGCTGCAGTTGCCAAAGGGAAAAAGAGAAAGGCTGATTCAGCAGCAGAGGTTCAGTTCTATTTTAAATTCTACTTATTTATAGAAGATACACTTTTTGCATACACTTCGTCTTATTTGAGCATTTGACCAATTTTATCCCCCACCCTGAAGAAAAAGGATATAAGCAACCCCATCAGACCTAGCTCATCATCCAAAGCTTTTAGTTTTAGGAAGGTGTTCTCAATATGGAATTCAAACACTTGTATAAATTTGATTTGTTTTATTCAAAAGCTACAATAGAAATTTTTAAAATTACTAGTATATACTTTAAAATCATGTGTCCTTAATAAGAAATATAAATTAATGCAACACATACACATGAGGGTTAATTAGAAAATTGCATATTGTCATTTTACCTCTTGTCCAAAAATGTTGAACTGCAGTTATCATGTTGATATTTTAACGCATATTTAGAATTTTTAAAAACTTTTTCAGTATCTTTTTTTGTGCATCAGTTTTGAATATTTGGGGTTAAGTAAGTGACAAACATGTTTCCATATAAAATTGGAGTTAAGTAAGCGACACAAATGTTTCTCTTTTTTGTGCATCAATTTTGAAATTCAAACATTTGTATAAATTTGATTCATTTTATTAAAAAATCTACAATACACTCCCTCTGTCCCATAGTTATCTTCTTCTTTCCTATTTAGATTGTCCCAAAATTTTCTTCCTATTTTCTTTTAAAGAAGCAACTATGTGGTCCATATCAATTCTCTTTCCTCTACGCAAACCACAGCCACCCACATTCCACTTTATGAAAATTGTGCCAAGTCAAACCCGGAAGATAATTGCGCGACGGAGGGAGTAAATTTTTTAAATTACTAGTATATACCGTAAAATCACGTATCCTTATTAAGAAATATAAATTAATGCAACACAAACACATGAACGTTAATTAGAAAATTGCATATTGTCATTTTACCTCTTGCCCAAAAAAGTTAAACTGAGGTTATCAGGTTATTTTTAACACATATTTATAATTTTAAAAAACTTTGACAATTAGAGCTCCAAGGACATAAAATTAAATCTACATTTCTATATGACAATTATAATGTTACAAGTTTTTCTGAGTTATATTTTGCTTGAAAACATTGGAATATTTTGAATTTAGTGTATTATTTTATTTTAACTTTTAAAAATATCTTATGTCGTATCAGATATTTACAATGAGTAGGGGTCAGGGTTGTGCACACCACCAGTTCACCACTTGGACCCCACTTGTTGGACTACACTAAGTTGTTTGTATTGGATATTGACAATTGAATACAATATGACTAATGAAAAGTATTTCTAGCAAGGAAAGACTAAGTCACCCTCCATAGGAAAATGAAATTTCATATATTATTCAGGTTTCGAAGACAAAATTTGAAAAATCGGAAGTCAATGAGAATGAGTGTAAGAAGGCTTGTTTTTTGTAAGAATGTTTTTATTGCGGTTTTAGGTTATCAGGAGAAATCCATAGAAACCTATTCCATTTGGTCTGCAATATAAGGGATAGTTGACTTCTTTTTTGTGTGAATAAATTAAGGGTTGAAAATAAGTCTCTTAATCATGGTTTTAAAAGGCGTTCGAGGCGGACCGCCTCGAGGCGGTAAGGCGGTGAGGCGGGCCTTTTAAGCCTCAGAGGCGTAAGCCTTGGTAAGGGTATGTGAGGCGTACGCCTTGCCTGGCCAAGGCGGTACGAGGCGGTTGAGGCGGTGAGGCGAAACTGAGGCGGTAGCCTCTATTCAAATTAAAAATTCAGCACCTATGGGTTAAATGATACTCCATACAAAGGAATTGGGCCTTTAAAAAAAATCTTGGGCATTAGGTTTTTGTTAAAAACTTCTTACACTTGATAAATTAGGATTTCTTTTGCTTGTACTTCTGCCTCTCCATTCTCAACCTAGCACAGTTCTCGCGCAGCACTTCAGCCTCTCCATCTTCTTCAACTTCAGCACCCCCTATCCACAACGCACCTTTTGTTCCTTCGGTCTCTCCATTTTCATAACATAATTGCTTCATATTCTTCTTTATGGACAAAAATTGCTTCATATTCTAATTAGTTCACCTTCTAATTTTTTCAAATTT